TTTGTCAAATTCCTTTTTTTTTTTTTTTTTTTTTTGTCATTGACATGACATCCTAGTGGACCATAATAAATTTTGCACGTAATAATTCGAAACATCTACTAAAAACCATGATACAACAGTTTATCAATGTTTTGGCAGAAACTTAGAGAACTTGAAGACGCACATTAATTTTTTATGATTGTAGAAATCAATTTTTAAGAGAATCTTCGATCCTTTTTAACTTTTTAGGGCAATCAACACCATATTTTTTCCTCTCCAAATCTGTGCATTTATTATGATTATAATGACCTTTGAAGGCATCAGCTACCAGTGCCAATTGTCTCACCGATCTTTGCACAAGCTCACGATCAATCTTGTGAAGGACTATATTATTTTCTTGAATATTTGTGTTACAATAATAATCTTGGACAGAGGCAGACCCAAACCTTTAGTATTGTGAGGTCAAAATTTTAAAAATAATTTTTTTAATAAACAACATAATATCAATGAAAATAAGTTTGTATGTATTTTAATACTTTGAAAACGTCGTATAATTATATCATTATTAATATTATTAAATAAATTTTACTACTTGTATAGTTTTGTTTATCATTCATTGGCAAATGCTGAGCTAACATTGAATAAATTAAATTGAATATAGAAGTTAAATGAATTGAAATAAAATTCAAGTTTAGTTCAGGAAGTAAATGAAATTCAAATAAGTAAATATAATTCGAAAGTAATTCAAATTGCATTTAATCCGTAACGACCCTAAAAAATTTACATCATATTTCATGTAAGACTTCCGAATAAAACGATATAAATTATATTGAAAATTTATAGTGCAAAAATAATAATTAATTGAATTTTTTAAAAAAAAAGAGTTAGACGTCTTTTTTGATGCGTACGTTTGATACATATTTAATTATTTTCGATATCCGTTTGGACCATTCGATATGAAAACGATGTAGTTTTTGAAACAAACTTTTACATGGCATAAACGATTTGTGGATTCAGATAGTACATGATCACAAACGAATTTTTAAAGTTAGGATATTTTCGAAATTTTCAAAATACTAATTTCAAACGCCCTATTTTAACATGTCATAACTTTTGCTATATTTGACCACTTCGCATGTCATTAATAAGTGAAAAACTAGATCATGAGCACTTCGAAATGGTATTAAGAATGCAATATTTTGACTTCGTTTGACATCCCGACGAGTGCATCAAAATAGATTGTTAAAAAAAAAAAAAAACCTCGATCAAATTATTATTATTTATATTTTTTATATATTTTTTCTTCACAAGATTTTACTACAAAATCAAATGCAGCAAGTCATTTTAACCTGTAACTATTAATAATTATTAATTTGGTTAAACAAAAACATCACCTCATTTTTTTTTTAGAACATAATAGAAGCTTACCAACACATAAAAAGTGACTTCCCTAACATTTTAATTTTCACTTTCCTAAAGTCCAACCTCTAAAACCCTAGTAAAAATTATGCTATCGTTTGATTTTGATTCGAAACCAGCACTGAATCCCAAAACCTTAAGGGCATCACCAAAACGCCAAATTTCATCAGAATTTTGTGCAAAAGCTCTCCAATATAGCATCAAAGTTTGCACCATTTTGAATCAAATGGTGCAAAGTCAAATTTGCTCCTTCCCATTTGTCAAAATAAATGATAGACGGTATATTTGTCATTTGTGTTATTTAATTTTTAATGCAGTAATTTTTATTATAATAATAATATTAATAATTGTATTTAAATAAATTTTACATATAAAAAATAATACTTAATGAATTAATTAAAATAAGAATACATATATACACACACACACACACACATTTATCTAGTTTTATTTAAAGAAAATAATACATAAAAAATATCCAAATTCAAAATGTATTGCACTAATTTTTAATGGCATGATTTAATATTTTTATTTTTGTAGTGTTTTCACTAGTTGTATTATATATTTTTATATTTATTAATGAATTTAATTTTTTTTAATTTAACGTAATCATTTATTTAGTAATTTATGTATTTATAAAATAAATAAATAAATTATTAATTAAGAATAAAAAAAGAGAAAAGAATTATTAAATAAGTGTGTAAGTTTTGATATAATAGTGGAGATAATTTTTAATTTGATATAAGATTTATTGCAAAATTTAGTGCAATTTGGTTCAAATTTTGGCGAGGGTTTAAGATGCCTAAAACCCAAATTGTTCACAAATGCGCGACGTTCGGCTATTATCACCATAAATACAACATCGCAATCATTCACCGGAATCTGATTTGATTGAAAATGGAGGGATTGCAGAAGGCATATCGTAGTGCAATGTCACAGGCACAGGAATCAAAAGCAAAACTCAGCTCCTTCGCCTCTTCTCTAGAGAAGACATCCTTAAACTCGAATTCCTCTTCTGGGTCTTCTATAGATTTATCTGCGGACAAGTCTCAGCTTTTGCTCACCCGATCCTCCAGGTATAAAACATCTCACTCTCTTGTAACAGATGTTTCCATGGCCGTTTCTGTATTGTATTTAATTCTGCAACTTGGTGCGTCAATGAAATTTGGAGAGATTCTTTGGTTTTACCTAAGAAAGCATTCTCTTTTGATGAACAATCACTAACTAAAAGAGGAACCGCATAATGAAAGCACGGCTTGCTGAAAGCTTGAATCTATGTCTCGTAATCCGGTTTTGGAATCCTCCATTTATTCGTTTGGGATCTACAAGATGAGAAAGAAAGTTTTGATTTTTATATCGAAATAGAGGGAATCTTTCAAATTTTGATTTTTATATTGAATATAATCATTCCTTAGTTTGTGAGTTACCCATTACTGGGAATAAGAACAGGATTTTGGTCTTTCCTTCACTTCAAAAAAAAGGTAGATCGCTTCGTTTTCTTTTTCTCAAAGCATAGGAAGCTAAACCTCCAATGAAGACAGTGCAAGCGCTCATTTAGAAGTTAAGACATGCATTAGGTTCAAAGTCCATTGAAGACCTTTTGTTACGAAAATAGGTAGAGGTATCACTCAAATTGAGGAATTGTATAGGACTTCAACTTTGTTTGTTGGCATCGAGATTATTTTATCATGTAGCTTTTAGATTTAGATATATCCGAAAAAATGTGGGGATGCCACTTTTAATATTTCTAAACACGGAAAATAGGACATATAGTTTAGGTGTAGTGAAATAGAAATTTTCAAATGATTTCTAGGAAGAAAATGTAGAAGGACTAGAGTCATAAAATCATCTTATGGTCTTTTCATTGTGGTCAAAAGCCAAGTTCTAACCCTTTAATTCGGTGAAGAAGGAGATTCTTTTTGGAAGACGTCTGCTTACATTAACGAACATGTAGTAAAGTTTGCACAAGAATGTTGCATTAGGAATGAGAACATGGAGCAACATACTAGTTACACTTATCAATTAATGTGGATCAGGAGTGGGCTAAGGAAATTGTAAAGTGCCACGTGCCCAACCTCGCCTATTTGCTCAAGTATTGATGGTCAAAAGTTGTACTTGTGATCTATGTTGCAGAGGCAACTAAGACACCAATTGCGGCTTTTAAAAACGAGTCGTCAAATATTTAGATCTTTTCGAGTTACGGGACCCGCTATTCTTTTTATGAATGCACGAATTTTAAATATTAAGTTAAACTAAGAAAATTGAAATATGAAAAAAAGGAATGATAGTTAAAAACGCCATTATTCAGCATCAAAATGTTGAATTCCTCAATCTAATTGCACTCCTCGTTCTTGTTAACTTATAAATTATCAGTTGATTATCCCTCAAGTACTAGCCTAAATAAATTAAATGCATCAAAAGGATGGTGTGAACTATTTGCTCTGCAAAGGAAAGCGAAGGGGAATAAAGGAGTCATGAGATGATACTTAACGGTAAATAATCTGAATATAAATGTCAAAGAATATGTTGCTGTTAAACATGGTGGAATTACTAAAGAAACCCGGTCCATTTAAGAAAATGAATTGGAGAAGAACAATTCTCCCATCGTTTAAAAAACTCTGTCGAGGCCTCCCTCCAAGTGAGATGGGTAAACAGGTAAAAAAGCCCTCTGGTGTTGATTGTGAAGTAGTTTTTGGAGGAGCACATCTCAATTGTGTAAGGTACACGCCTCATAACACCACCTCGGGGCTTGACTTATTACTTCACTATAGGTGTGGGCCTATAAAAACCAAAAAAATTTGATAAACCTGTTATTTAAGTAGCTCGTTGTCCACTAAAACATTAAAAATCTGTATTTCTCATAAATCCATATTGAGAATATTCCAACTAAAATAATATTTCCTTATAGATGCTTTGTAGATTTTTCTTTTCTTTGTTTACACGCTTTAAAGTATTCAATAATTTGAAGATTGTTTATGATTTATAATGAGCTTGTTTTGCATTTTATTAATTTTTTTACAGTGAGGCCTACGTCTTGCCACATGTTGGAACAAAGCCTCACTACCTGATTACACCTTTTTAAACATTGTGTCTGACTTCCACCGCAGAATCTAAGGAACATACAAGCCCCTGTTTGATTTGGCTAAAAATAAGATTTTTAGTTGACTTTGATAAAAGTCAACAAAATATATGGTTGAAAAGTGGATAAAAATTGTGGTCCCATAAAATGTGTGGTTGAAAATGAGTTATAAAAAATTGGGGCCAGACGGGGGCTAAATGACGGGACTTAAACTTGGTTTACTGCTATTTTGTGTGTGTGTGTGTGTGTGTGCATGTTTGTTTGCATCTACCATATGATAACTCTTGGTTCCTCTGAAATATTTGTTTAATGGTCGTGACTGGTACAATTTGGCTGTCTTTGACATATGATGGTTAATGTGTATACTGTATAAGAAACTAATCCATAAAACACACTGTTGGTCTTCTGATGCTACTTGACAGTTCTTGTTATCCTGATTTAGAGTTAATGAGATGTACGTATCTCCTGTTCCATGAATCAGTGAGATTAGAAACTCTTTCCTTCAGGCGATGTTTCTACGAATATTGCTACAGAATTAAAAAGCATTGTCTATGTAGAAGTTGTGGTCTTTTAAAGACCCACATGCTTATATTTTTATTTTGTCTGTGTCAGTTTGCGGTGATAAGTTTGTAAGAAAGAAATAGAAGACCTTTAAAATAATTATAATGAATCTGTGAATGCAGACAATCTGTATCACTGTGGACCTGCTCAAAGCTTTGTACTATTTGCTTTATTGCTGGAGTATTGGTTGGTTACACGCTTAAACGACGCGTTCGTCTCTGGGCCTCAAAACTTCTCAAGAGATTGCATAATGATTAGGTTGTAAGTTGAGATGCTTGAAATTTGAAAAGAAGCCTGTTTGAAGATCAATGATGGAGAAAGTTTCAACCCCGTGGACACTGTCTCTTGGATTTATTGTAGTTCTTATCAATGACTGGTTGTTAAAACTGTATACACTCGTGGACAGTTATATTGCTTTTCATAATACTTCTATTTTGCTTTAATATTTTGTTACATGTTTTACCCAATTTATCAGAAAAGCAAAAATTATATGTATACAAAACACTTTTGTATACACATGTTTGATTTTGATATCATTGGTCTTTACCGTGGGGCGTGTTTATGCCTCATACAATATATATATGAAGCAATTATTTTGGTTTTTATGCTCATTATGCAATTCAGAAACCAAAATATCTTGGTGCCGTGTCGAGCAGTGTTCTTCAGCTGCAGATTTTTAATTCCTAGTTCTCCTTCTTTTGCTTCTGTCCAGTAAGTTGAAACTATTCTTTATGCTACCATTTCTTCTATTAACACCCACAGATTTTGTACTTTAAATCAAGGTATCAATGTAATTCAGAAGCCTCAACTCCTGGTAAGGATTTCTATTCAGAATGCTTCAATTTTGTATCTGTTATAGATATTTGTTGTATGATGACTATCTAGATTTTTCATATCCCTGATATGTATTAGTTACTGAAATCGATCACGTTTTTATTACTGAAAAAAAAAAATGATGCTATTTTACTACAGAATGGTGTATAATTCAATTACAAAGAACAAATTCTAATCGCTTTTCTTTCTTCTTCTTTCCTACTCCACAAGCCTTGGACTACATTTTTTCCCCCCTGGAATATCTATTTTGATATTTGATAATCCTAATTATATGATAAACGCATTTACATTCTTTCAGATATAATGAATATATATGTATATATCTTCGTATATGTGAATAATTACAAAAACAAAATAACAGCTTGAATTGTTAGTTACTAATCTTCCTGCTTCAAAAGTATTCCTTGTGAAATTCAAATCTTGTGGATGTTCTGTAAGTCATTTCTTTTGACAATTTCTTCAGCTCCTTTGCCAAGATAGGCATCCCACAGTAAAAAACTCCTGCAAGATGAGTTATTTCCTGTTAATAATAAATTACATAATGTGCAAGGATTCTATGACCCTAGCTGCTACTCAATAGTCTGGTTGCTATTAACTGAGGAAATTATTTTCTGATGTATCATTGTGGGAATTACTTAATTGGCATACGACGAACTTTTTCATCATAAGATTACATTGTTAAGACTGTCTGCTTAAATTCATGTTCGAATTTGAAGGAATAAAATACATATTCAGAATTGTGTCTAATAATGTTTTGTCAGTGTACTTCTCATCTTTAGCTGGTAGGTTGTTGAATCATACTGTTGTCTGTGACCTGGAACAACTTTGACAGCAACGCATCAATGAGAAGATAAAAATGGCATTTAAGATAGGATCATATGAGTGTATGATTGGGAATCTGCTTCTCAAGTATCTTTACCTATTGTTGAAAATGGATGCTTTGACGCTATTTTGTTGAATACTTCTCTCCAATCCGGTCTTGCGAAATGTGTCCTCACCTGAAAAGCAATTGTTAGATTTACTTTTGGGTTCCATGATAGAGCTCTTTAAAACTTAAGTTTTTCCCATCATGATAACTTTCAGTACTTTTACTTAATAGGTAAATGGAAATCATGGAGTAGTTATTGACATAATAGTTCCATTTATATCTATGAAAAACATTAGAATAATGATAAATCGTACTCTGGTGCCAGATAGGATATCAACTCCATTCTTAGCATGGTTTAGAGCTTGGACCATGGTGATGAGAGTTGACCTTGCATCACCCTCTTCATAAACACTTGTTAAATAATTATGCATCTCAATTTGACCCTGTTTTATTGTGAAAAAACGGTAATTCAGATCATGAAAAATTGGCCAAAGCCTGAAGTATTTAAGCCTAGTTTTCGATCAAGAGATGAGCATTACTTTGTGATCCATCTCAGCAACTTCATTCATCACTCCTTTAAACCACTCGAAGGATCCGTGTTCCCTGGTAACCCAGTAGAAATGTGCACTCCTTGTCCTTTCTGATTTCTTCTTTCCACTTGATGCAATGCTCGAAGAGCCAAAACTAGTTGAGCTATCATCTGATTTGCTGGCTTCTGTAGCCGAGTCCTGAATCAGCAACAGCAGCAAATGGCGTAAGTTTAGATAAAATTATTTATTTTTAATAGAGTGAAAAAGATAATGATTTAGATATTGCACTGTACCACTTGGTCTTCTGGTTTTGTGATGTTTAATAGATCCTTGAGGATACTTATGAAAGGAGTAGCTCCTATTCCTAGTCCCACAAGAAGTAACACATCGTAGTTCTGGTAGTCTTGTGCTGGAGCTCCATATGGTCCATCAACAAGTAATTTAGGTAGACTGCACCAATATATTACCCTTATTTAGACTTCCTTGATAACCACCTGTAAATAATATTGAGAAAGTAAAATCTATTGGATAAAATTACCCTGTTTGATCAACATTCCCCAGTGCTCCGAACTTAGCTCGACCAATCACACATGCTGAACTGTTATCTTCCGTGAAAACTCTTTTAAGTTCTCTTGTCCAGTCTCCTACTGTACGGATGTGAACACTAAGGTAGTTGTCTCCTGGAGCTGAAGTCAGTGAAAATGGATGCCTGAAATTTCAAGTTGTGTTAATGCTTGCAAGCATCTATAAACACATACATGTTTGTCTATATATATATATATATATATATATATATAGTATGTGCAGCAGTGATTCTCACCATTCAAATGTGGAGATTTTTGGACATTGTAGAAATATATACTGCCCACTTTTGTATTTAAATCCATTTGGCTTTGCCATAATCAAGCTGAAGACGCCTCCTGGAAGTACAGAAACCTATAAAGTCCAGAAACACACTGGTAAAATTACTTTTTAATGTAGATTTTTAGGCATCATTGCCTTTTCTCATTATTGTTTACTTGAAAATTTGCCACTATAGCAGGAAGGGAGGCAACGCATTTGAATTCTTTAAGGTTCAGTTTTTAAATTTTATGGAAGATATCTATAGAGTTGTAAATATGTAGCCATCATATGCAAAAGTTGTCTTTTTGGACAGCTCTAGGAATATTAAAGTTGCCATTATGGTATCATCTTGAATCATAAACGATAATATTAGGCATCTTCTGATCAGTATGAACTAATATCACTGCACAAATTTGATCTTGACTTGGGATAAAATTGTTCTTTTAGTTTTTCATCCTTTTTTTTTTTTTTTTTTGGTTTTTTTTTTTTTTTTTTTTTTTTTTTCCAAATTTGTACTAGTATTTGCTACTAGCTCTGGTATTGTTACTTGACTTTATTACTTTCTAATTTATGTGTTAATAGCTTTCCTCACATTCTGCACCATTGTCTTTCCATAAAACTTGGTTTGATATTGCTCCCAAAGTTTAGACGATTTCAGCGAGAGATAAAACCGAAATGAAATCAATTACCTTCAAAATCTTAACTGCATAATGTTCAGACCTACACGTTCTCAGACTTCGTTCAGCTACATAAAGGAACAGGGGAACTGATATGTACATCCATGTCTGTCACATTTCAACAAGTCATTGTTAATATAACTATGATTTCTTAATTCTGCCTATTGATTTTCATAGTACATGTTTCACATATAAATATTGTTCATCTGTTATAGGCTAGTTATGAAAATTTTCCATTTACTGTTCTTACCGTTTTCTGGTACCATTGGTGGACCAAGAACAAGAAGGTCCCATGGATCAGGAGTAATATGTATACCACAACGAGAAGGTGATGAGAGTACCAGAATGCATTGAAGCCTGTTAGTTTGTTGAAGGGTGATGGCAACTTCACCCCATTTTTTCGAAAACCCCGCGTTGCTAGTGTGAATGCAATTGTCATCAACACTACCATAGAAATCCCTGTCAAGCCTTCAACACCAGTCAGAAGGCTGACATAAGTGGGTTTTACATTGTTGAAATCAGCTGCTATGAGTGCAAACATTTCTGGGGATGAATGAATTACACGAGGAAAATCGCATAGTATATGATTTCCTGCATGAAGTATGATTCCAACTGCTATACCGCATGCTAGTATCTGTGATTTGAAATCGAGTTATTGTGGAAAAATATATTTGAGAAATTTACTAAGAAAATATTTTGTTTATATTTCTACCTTGTGAAAGTTAATGTTGTCGTCAAAAGGGATGAACAGCCTGGCTCTTGTGGATCTCAGCCATGTTAATATATTCCGGCAGACTGGTAAAAGTACAAGAGCCATGTTGAGTTTAAGCGTCTCAGCTGCTCCTTTTGCTGTTGCTAAGCAGTATCCCATTATTTGAAATGCTGCCTTCTGCCTGTACTGAAGAAACTTCCAGGTGAAAAGTCCGGCCATGGCTATTATCCATAGCATTAAAATCCATCCCCTTTGCCAATTGTCTAGCAGGAGGCACTTAAGTGCCGACCTGATTTTATTCACTATGCTTTTAGCTTTGAGGGCATTTAAATTCTGGCTCCATCCTGCACTTGCTATGCTTATAGGTCTGCTGTAGTTCATGTAGCTATCCCTTTGTAGTAGAAGTGTTTCTAACTGCCATAACTGAACCAGGGGCAAATAGGAGATGTTATTTAGCATTTATTTCTCAAAACACAGAATAATCAAACATAAATCATTTCATCTCGACCTTGCTCTTATGCAAGGTATTGTGGACCGGAGATTACTGAATCCTTGTCTAGCATACCCATGTTGTTCACTATTTGATACTAAACGGGCAATTCTTGTTTCAGTTATATACAAATTATTTTCGTTACAATATTCATATGGTTCGTCTTACTTGAGCATCGGATGGCCTCCTACTGCCCACTGTAGAGTTGTGTATTCTTATATATGCCAATTTCGAGAACAATAATATTCGAAGATTCTCGCAAATTGTTACATTATTTGTTGTGAACTGAAAATTTCCTCGACGAGAAACTTGCATTGCACCATATATAAAATTGCTACTTGTATAAAATTAGTTGACGAAGTTGGTTTACAAAACAATATCTACACTAATCATTTCAAAAACACTTTTTTAAATCATTTGAAACCAAAGGTCAAGATTCTGTCGACAATTGTTTTGTAAACCATTTTTATCAATTTCTTTTGTACAAGTAGATTAATTGATAAAATTGAGACCGTTGTATAAGTGGATGACACCTCATTAGAGAAATAAGTATTAGGAGAAATTTTTGATACCTCGATG